GTGAGATCCCGCGTGGTAAATGTGACGAAGTTCAGTGTTATGAAGTAGGAGTAAAGCTATAGAAGAAATTGAGTAACAACTAGCCATGCATCCGTCAAAAAATCTGAAGATTTTAGTCCAACAAAACAATTAAATTTCTCCCCACTGCAGTATATCTGAAACAAAGGGGGGCCCAGCACGCCAGGCTACCAGCTAAACTCCCTGTTCAATAGACAATGCAATCGACATGTAAGAGGATAAATCTGACCGTAAACGGGAGAGAGACTTTGAATACCTGGAATAGGAGCAAAAATATCGCCCAATGGACAAGATCTTGCGGAAGGGGAAAGGACGAGGTGAGGCACAACGAGGCAGGAAAGAAAGCGGCCTTTCTTGAGTGGGAGAATTCATAGACAAGCCAGATTAGCAAGCAACGCCCTGACCGACTAGCACCAGTCGATCCAGAACATTAGAAAGCGACAAACATATTTACCCGTGAACAAACAGGCAGGACAAAAATGAACTTCAGAGGTAAACCCTTGAGTATCCACCGTAACATAAGCAGGGCCCAAGGCAGTGTCGCCATTCAGCTAAGAAGCGAGCATATCGGGCTCAATTCTCACCTGTACAGAAGAAAAGTACGCGGAGTAGAAAACCCACGCTGTCAATGTGGATATCCGTCACAAAATATCAGGTGGTTGGTCTTGGCGTGTTCGCAGAGGGCGGGTGGAAAGGGCGACTTTCTCCGACAATCTAAAGATAGGTCATTTGAAGCAATGATTAATAGCCCAGAAGATGTGGCTAGAATTACACAGTGGATACTGAGCAAAGGATGGACAAAATAGCTTCAACTTGCAGAAGTCGAGGTAGCAATGTCGGATATAATAAATTAGTGTGGAAAGGGAGAGGACGGAATCCACACTGGCTGAATAGAGTTAACTGCACTTTCTGAAGGTAAACTTGACAATTTGATAGCAATTAAATGGGCATGATTAGGGGGTTTTCACCACGTTGGTTTCCCCCTTTTTAAGTAGTGAAGGTAGTCACCTGCATGGACCCATAGGGTGTCTGATCGGGTTAAATGAAACCAGATTCAAAAACAATGAAAAAAGACGGTGATCATTAGCGCGCTACCTAGATACACTAGGAAAAGATGAAAATTTCCCATTGTCACAATAATTTAAATTATATTGACATCACTTCCGTGCTGGAAATGCTGCTACTCAGTGCCTTTTTATTCATATAATTTTCATTAGATTCGCGGGGTGTCAATTTAGTCATCTGCTTTATAGCTGGAGTATGTTGGTTGGAAATCATTCGAGTCCCAGAGATTGAGGTTTTTGGCTTCCGATTGAACTATCTGATTGGCGTATGCAAACAGAGTATCTTTAGAGCACCGACGAGGCGGCGGAGGAGGTGGCCCTGATTGTTCTTGTGAAGATTCTTGTGATAGGAATTCTTGTCAACTGCATTATTTCCATGTTGATTTTCTGCTTGATCGATACCCCTTTGTGCTAATTCGACTTTGAATATGCCATGAATCTCCTTTCCCTGGATTGTAAGCTGCCTATGCCTGATCTTCTTTTATTTTCAGAATACGCAGTGAAATGACCTAAACTTCCGCAGCAACAACATACAGTCCGGGAACCTGTGGTGTGATCTGAAGTTATGGATTATGAGTGGTGGTTGTTTTTGTTGTGGATGAACTGTCAACAATTCCACAGAGTGCATAATTGAATACTGGGAGGAACTCTCAATCCATGGGGCGGGAAGATAGTTGAGCCATCCAGTTTTGTTATTTTTCTGTTACAGTCCAAGTCATTGGAAGTACTTTTTGCAGCGTATAGGCATCGATTTCTGGGACTAGTGTATTCTTAACTATACCTGCGTGTGATTACAAGGTATATTCGATTGCACACGCGATTACCATTTCCACCCTTTGGCTGAACAGAATTCTATTATTATTATTTTATTATCCTGTCTGAGTCTATGACAATGTAGGACATGCAGGTCCTCTCTGCTTACAGGCTAAGGATACTTATGCCAGTAGTATATCCCCTCCTATGCCTCCCATACAGCTCCCCTAAAACAGTACCGCCCCTCACAAAGCCTCATTGGACCATAAACTTAAAGAAGCTCTTTGCCCTATATCATCTCCCATCTCCAGCCAAAAAAATGATGGCCATTTGCGGTCAACATTGTCTTCATCCTTCAGCATAACCCCCCATCGCCATTATCATGAAGCTAACCACAATCAGATCAGATTGGTAGGGTCGAAGCCCTTCATATCACCAACCCTTGGTTGTGTATGAAAAGCCATCCAATGAGTTTCCGGAGCGTACCCAGCATCCGATACAGCGATGGCGTATTGGATAAAGTCGGCCTCGAATGTTACAAAGAAGGGAGATATAGATGAATATGTGCACCTCATGCTGTTCCGGTATCTAGGCCTGCAGGTATTGTGACAATTTTTTTGGCGCAAGCAGTTTCCATTGCCAGCATTTTTTTGGAAAGAAGGTTCGTGGGAAGAAGTTTGAATTTCATAGGTAAATACTAAGCTGAATGGAAATTTCTCTCGGGCAATATATCAATGATCTTTCAAGGAGAGTTAGAGGCAAGTAGCACTGTACAAGGTGTGGCCTAGGCCAGAGGGAAGCCCAATGTGCTGGATACTTGGATGGCAAGACTGAACACCTGTACGCGGTGTCTTCTACGAACCTAGGAGTGAAATATTCTCCCAGAGCCAAGTTCAGTCAAATTTCGCAATACCGATCAAGTTGGCCTACGAGGCAATGATTTAAATTACTCCTCCACGTCGTTTTTTCGCTCCCAACGAGTTCAACTCTCCAACACCAATATGTATACATAGCACCGGTCATGTGTCATAGCTAGATAGCTGAATACACATTAAATGATTTAAAAAAAAAAAAAAAAAGAGTTCAACTCCTACCTAAGTCTCATCAAGCCTACAAGTACGACCAAGTGCATCCTCATTCCAATGATCACACCTCTCGTCGACTTTCTCTGGCCTCAGCTCGACACCAAATACACGCCCACGCCTATATTTATACCCGCAGGAGGAAGCAAAGCGTGGTGCACAAATCTGGGAGACTGTTCTTTAGGATGGACGTGAGAGGATTCAGGACAAGTTTACAAGATGATGCGAAGGATGGATACAGTCTCGACGGGCGTACAATTTTGAATTTTGGTAAGGGGTCTTTACGAATTGAGCTTTGTGCGTGCCAAGGCTTCGCTTGCGAGAGTGCAAGCGACACTATAAACACCACCATGGTTGGATGGTGCGGTGGTACATCGTCTTGGCCGGTCTGCCAAGTAAGGTTTGGATAGCTTGGACACATATCCCACTCGAGACAGTAGATCGCTAGTTCAAACCCGGCAAAACACAACCACATTTCTCGCGGCGCTGGCATGCATGGATGACAAAGGTATGCTTGGATAACCAAAGGTTTTGTAAGGTCCCTTTGGTGGGTACTTACGGAGGAGGGTCGACTGTTTGTGTAAGCGAGCATACCTCATAGTGGTATTTGCGAATGAAATCCAGAGTACGAGTGTCTCTAAAACCAAAAGAGTCATCCCAAATGTATACAAAGCACCGGCCATGTGTCATAGCTAGATAGCTAAATACATATTAAATGATTTATAAAAATAAAAATAAAGCAAACTATGGAAGGTGCCATGGTCCGCCTCCTGGTAGTGTTCTCTGGTATGGTTTGAGTAGCCTGGGCACCTACTCCACTTGGGAAGGAGACATCCCAGATCACAGTTCGCGCGGAGAAAAGTTGATGGATAACGGAGGCATATCTGGATAACTCAGGGTTTTTGAGACGTTCCCCTGGGTGGGTATTCACGGATGAGGGTTGACTTGGGATGAAGAAGAAGCCGGCATAACTTCGCAGTGGTACCTGCAAATGAAATCTGGGGCATGAGTGCTCTTCCTTTACGTTGAATCATCAGTTCTGTACTGTTCTTTGATATTGTGTCATAGCTAGATAGCTGCATTCGCAATTAAAATCTGATGCAAAAAAAAATGTGCTGGATAGCCTATGACTCAATCAACACAACACGAACGTCGCACTCGCCCCACGCCCAGCGGAAAACTTCTCATGTTACAAGCACGCTAGTCAATGATGACATAATGTGAAGCCCAACCATCTTCTCGAAGTACCGTCCCTTGTCACACAACACGTTGGCCTGCAGGAACATGAAATTTAGTGCTGCGGGGAAAAAGAAATGCGCGGTTAGAGGTCTCGAACAATTTCTCTGACTGCTAACTTCGGCGTTGTAAACTGTGATTGATATTTGGCTCTGGGAGGAATGGTTCAAATTTGCGTGGGGAGCCACTGAAAGCTCCTAAATCCTTCCTCTGGTTGTTAAATTTAGTGGAGTTATGGGTGTAGGCCCACAATTAATCGTAGGAGCCCAGGTAATTTCATAAAGTAGTCGGCAGGCGGAGTTGATAAACTAAATTAGTACTTTGAGGATAGCCTCATTATCACCACATCCTTGGCCATACAAGCTGGCCGGGACGAACCTTTTCGCTCTCCAAAGCTTGAAGGGATCTGGTCGAAAGAATACTGAGCTAAAACGGTCGGCTTGCGTCCTTGAACTCGATAATGCTGACACTGATAGAAGATTACGCCTAATCTCCCACATGTGTCTAAATTTGAGAAAGACCGGTGGTTGTCTTTTATTTATCCACTTTGTCGATGAATCGACCCAGCACGAATCGTAAAATACAAAGGAGATGAGACACGGGAAGGAGGATTGTGAGGAAATGGACACTCCGGTTACTAGCCGGGAAAAGTCGATTCCTCAGTTTTTTATATTTTCACACTATTCAATCTAGCTCTCGCTGTTCTACTCTTGTGCTGATACTGAAACAATCGGACCTACCGACTATGCAGACTTTTACAATGCAATATTCTTGATCACATTCTGATTGGGTGTTGGGTATTCAGCAAACACACGAGTCACAGTAACCCTTCAACTCCTAGTTAACTATGAACTGTATCTACGCCTTTCTTTTATACACGTCGCATTTCCATCATCAGGTGGATCGAATGGTTATCACGGGCGACGAGAACTTTCCTCTATATGCCGTCTTTGATCCTCCGTCTATCGGCAACTTCCCACGGCCGATCAGGGAATCTAGTCTGTTCAAGGTGGAGGACAAGGATCGGTTCTACGGCACACACTGGGCGAGATATTGCTCGTCACGAATGGACCATCACTCGATAGTAAATTTTGTCGTCAAGGATTCGAAGCCAATAACGTCAAGCTCGCCATTGGCATTTTTCAATGAAGCTGTGCTGGAAGATGCTTGTCTTGCATACTTGCAGCAAGTTCAAGTTTTCAACAGACCAGAGGCTCCCATCAAATTTTCAGACTATGCGAAAAACAAACCATGCAGTGAAAATTTAGTGGCGAATCTAGCTTTCCAGCAAAAAATATCAGTAGTGGGACCGTATCGTCATTTTGTCCCGCTGCAAGCTAATAGCTTGATGAAGGTAGCAGCAGATGAGCCGATAAAATTGAACAGACTAGTTCTCTACGGTCTTATTTTCAAGGGAGAAAGCATTTACAACAACAACCAAGCTCTTGCTTGGTATCAAGGTCATTTGCATCTGATAGAATGGGACAAACAGAAAAGAATGTGGTATTTCCTGACGAACCTTCGGCCTGAGGCGCCAAATGGAGCTCTGATTGCCAGGTTTTTGGACGATAATTATCCTACAAGTGAAAGGTCATATGATAGTTTCGTCGCTGACTGCCTTGACAAAGATCTACCAGTCTATTTAGACACACAGAGTAGTAACTGCCCAGCTTCAGACGCCGTTGACCATAGTTGCCTTACTCTATTTATGAGAGAGGGAGAGTTTAAAGCCTCACTTGCAAGGGGTCCTATAGGTGCAGACCTTTCCCTGCCCTTTTAATATATCGAGGAAATCGAGGACGAATGAGCCTTTGTAGCCTTCAAATGTTAGAAAAGGCAACAAGATTTATAAAGGGGGTGAACAGGTAGGGACGAGACGAGAACAAGCAAATTACTATGGCATATTGAAACACTACCTTTATAAATTTGAGTATATTACAATTAATACATGGGGTTTGAATTTGATTTCATTATCCTGATTTGGCGCCCTATGGGTCCATGCAGGTGGCTATAAACTGTTGAAATTAAACTTAGAATATGCAGAACTCTTCGAGTGATCACGGAGAAATAACGAAGTATATTCTTCAAAGGGTATCCGTAGATGTGAATTATGTTTATAGTAAAGGCTTGATCGAAACTCTTGATCTTTACTAAAGGATATGAGACTGTCTATATACATTGATGTCTGGCAATGACATGGGCTAGAGTATAATGCCTCATTTCGGGATACAACGGGACAAACTACAGGTCTGATACCAGTTACGCGTATTCTCGTCGCAGTCTCGAATATCAGACGTAACAAAAGATGATGGTGTAACTAGTAGCGGATAGGCGACACCCGACAATCTTGATGGACACATACTGAAACCACAAGCACGGGGAGCGTCTAGGTTGGTTTCGCAACATAAACCTATCTACATATTTACATGGGAGGAAACCTCTCGGAGAATACCTCCCCAACCTTGCGCTGGTCCTATCTCGTTCCCTCAGCTACATTTTGACTGCATTTTTCATGTAGAGTTTTTCTATCCAGCCATGCCTAAGGATCCATTTTGTGATTCTTTTAATGCCGCCAGGATTGTTTATCATTGCTTCGAAGGTGCGTTTTCGGGCTTTCCAGATCTCTCCTCCATCAATTGACCACTTAGGGCAGAACATGATCATATTTATGGTATTGGTAGCCAAACGAACAACGTGGATGGTAGATACCTGGTACTTTTATGTAAATAAGAATTGAGCCCGATGTGCTCGCTTCGAATTTGGATCGCGAGGCTACTTGGGGTCCTTGTCAGGTTGTTGCGAAGGGAAAGTGGAGGTTCCTGGAAGCTTATTCTATGTCGTCTAGAATGTCGGCATTGACAAAACTTGGCTGCTCTCCGAATTTTAGCATTTGCTGTGGCAGGCTTATGAGGCTGTCGACTTCGCTTTAGGTCGGACCAAGATTTCGTCCATTTTAGGCATGCTTCAGCCTTGACCGCTCCTTTCTCCAAGTCCTTGGATTGCTTTCCTCCGCGACTCTTGCTCCGGTAGGCAAGGTCTACTCTTCTATTAGTTTCTCGGATATCTTCTCTTCCGCTTTTGGGCGGCTTGATCCTGCTACGTGCAGATTGGATGGTGTTTTGGACTGGTAAGGAATTTAAACGGCCTGCACACGGAACCCTTTGTTGCTTCAAGTAAATTTGTATCGGAAGGGTAGCAATTTCATCCTCCAACACCCAGGTGTTACTCGATCTACACATCCCTGTGACTAGTATTAAGCAATTATTTTTAATTTTTAGGTCCTTAGAGCATATGCTCTATATCTCCTAAGAGTCAAGGACCGGTGTACACGGCTGAGATCATGCTTCCCACATGCCCGACTCGATCTCACCGCGTGACCCATTACACAATCAGTAGCTAGTTATAAGAAAGAAAATATATGCTCCCATAGACTCCCACCACCAAAATTCCAAACCCCATAATCCTATTTGTCGTTGGAAAATGACACATCTCGTCTCATTTTTCTGCCTGTCATGCTTCGTGCTATGGCCTAGTAAATGTTGTCTCCGCTGAGAGCTGGAGACGGACTCACGGGTGGTGCCCGAAGCAGCCGGTTTCCTGCGCAAATTTTGTAAAGTGTTCGAGGCACTTAGGCCCGAGAAGCGTCTGGGTAAAGTCGTGATGTGAAATTTTCCCTCGGAGTCGACGCGTCTAGCGTGCGTGCAGTCGACAGTGAATGAAGAGGAGAGGAGATATCTCTGCTCCAAAGTGCAGTTTCTTTGAGAGCCTCCAAGGGCTTTGACATTCTTTCGGCTATTTCACCCCCTGGTCTAGCCTCGACCCAGATTGGCGAGGCTGACGTAAGGGCTGGCCTCAATATCGCGCTTTAACGCGGCTTTGACTTTTTGTAAGGTGGCTCCCCACGTGGACTGCATCGGCCTACTCATGACCTGAACTTGAGTCTCAGCTTTCAGCTTAAGACTCTTGACAATACATGAGATTGCCACTGCTGGTATCCTCTCGAAATGTTTTAATGCATTCTGGTCTTTTCTTCTTCAGCTTTCGACAAAATAGCAAGTGCAGATCCTCTCTACCGATAGGCCGAGAATATCTGGACCTCGATTAGTATTTCCCCTCTCATGCATACCTATTAGCCTCAATCTAGCAGCAACAACCCTCGCAAGTTTCCATTTGATCGTGAAATTGGATGTGTCTAACCCCCTCATTATCTCTCCTCTCCCATAAATCTGCTGTGATTGGCAGATATTCGCCAAGATGGCCACGTGATGTTGGTTATGCACGAGCTTTTGTAGATCTCTGCTGCTCAGTATGCTTCATACAAGTGAGACCACTAAATATACTCATATCTAAATTACAACAAAGCATGTAGCCTGTATCCAGGCGTTAAGCAGCCAGGAAAAATCAGAGAGTTTACCGGGTGCGGGGCCACTCACATACTCGAATCGGCGTCGAGGGGAAGCCAAGGGATGCAATTGATGAGGCCAATAACCGTGAGTGAGACTGTGAACGAATAAGCAAAGGGACTTGGTGCGAGATGATGCTCCGAAATTGTTCCCATGAGCTTGTACTATCCACAATAGTCCGGCAGATGTAGAATTGTGTTCTAGCTAGCCTGAGGGATTTCCATTTTTTATATTTGTTGGAATGATGGGAAGCAAGTAACCACCTGAATTAACATAAAGAGTTTACGCGATGTCTAGCATAGTCTGTTTCATTAGATGAGAGTAGAGGAATAAGATCCACCAGCACAACCTCAGAAACGTGATATACAGTTTACCTTCTTTGCGCCGTGTCTAGGTATCCCGACAATATTGTATTCAGCTATACAGCTATGACAAGGATTACCGTTATAGGAATCTCTTCATTGTCATGGCTAAATAGCTGAATGCAGTATGAATAAAAGAATGGATTACAATTCATACACCTGTGATACAATTGGGGTTGGATGGTGCAGTGGTACACCATCTGGCCCGTTCTCCCAAGTAAATACTGGGTAGCTTGAACACCTATCCCATTCGAGACAGGAGAAAGCTGGTTCGAATCCAGTATAACCAACACACCACTTTCTCTCGCGGTGATATTGTACTTGTGGGATGATGAAAGCACACTCGGATAGCCATAGGGTTTTCACGCTTTTCCCTGTGGTGGGTATGCATGGAAGAGGTTATACGCCGTGAGGGTTGACCTCGAGTGGTATCTGCAAATGAAATCTGAATGTGAGTGTTCTAATCGTCAAATTGAATCATCCTACTTAAAGTACATATCTTCCGATAAAAACCTGCATGGGCCTCAAGGCGCCAAATCAGGTAAAATGAATTATATATATGTATATATATGATACAATTGGTTAGGATTACCCTTTGGTATGATCGTATTCTAATGAGAACTTATAGTGGTATTGCCGCTAGAAAGAAGCTGAAGATACTCTCAATCTATGGGCAGAAATAACCAACGTATCCTGATATAGTCATAGACTCCGTGGACAATAAATGTAACCATCCTTATGATTGGCGTTGGTAATAGTCATTCTGTTACTTCGCTAAATAGACGTTCAACCATCGAGCGGCGACAAGTGATTAGCACTTTTTGTAGACACGAGATGACTCTTTTAGATTCAGAGACACTCGTGCTGTGTATTTCACTCACACTTACTACTACGAGATATGTTTGCTTACACAAACAGTTGACCTTTCTCCGTGACTACCTACAAAATGGAAGTTTCAACCCCATGGATTAGTGAAGTATGTCTTCATCTTGTACACAAGTACAGCCAGAGATATGATCGACCATTACTGCACTCTAAACGGCTATTTCATGTCCCAAGGCGGGTAAGATGACGAAGCAATCAAGACTATTGTCAGCCGATAAGTACGCGTCGTATATTGCTGCACCATCCAGCTTAGCGGTCTTCATAGTGTCGCCAGCCCCGTCGGGGATTAAGTCGTAGAGCACGCGATGCTCTTCAGCTCCTAAAATTGATTATTCAAGAATTAAAATTCCAGCCCTTCCGAGACTGTATTCAAGCTTTGAATGAGTTTCTTTAACCCTCCTCGCCTCCATCACATTTATCCTGACAATCTGCCTTACCAGATTTTGCAGTGCGAATTTTGTCCTCCTATGGGCATTTGTATTGAAGGCAGCGTGTATTTTGAGGCTAGAGAATGAGCCGATGAGAGTAATAGCCGTTGAAACGAGGCTTATTAGGTCTTTTTTTTTTTTAATCATTTAATGTGTATTCAGCTATCTAGCTATGACACATGGCCGGTGCTATGTATACATATTGGATGACTCTTTTGACATTAGAGACACTCATACTCTGGATTTCATTTGCAAATACCACTATGAGGTATGTTTGCTTACACAAACAGTCGACCCTCCTCCGTTAGTACCCACCAAAGGGAATTTAAAAACCTTTAGTTATCCAAGCATGCCTTCGTCATCCATGCATACCAGCGCCGCGAGAAATGTGGTTGTGTTTTGCCGGATTCGAACCAGCGATCTGCTGTCTCAAGTGGGATATGTGTCCAAGCTATCCAGACTCTACTTGGCAGACCAGCCAAGACGATGTACCACCGCACCATCCAACCATGGCAGTTTTTATAGTGTCGCCTGCACTCTCGCAGCCGAAGACTTGGCACGCACAAAGCTCAATTCGTAAAGACCCCTTACCAAAATTCAAAATTGTACGCCCGTCGAGACTGCATCCAATCCTCTGCATCATCTTATTAACTTGTCCTGATCCCTCTCACATCTATCCCAAGGAATTGTCTTCCAGATTTGTGCGCCACGCTTTGCTTCCTCCGTCGGGTGTAAATATCGGCGTGGGCATGTATCTGGCGACCAGCTAAGGCCAGAGAAAGTCGACAAGAGGTGTGGTCATTGGGATTAGGATGTACTAGGTCGTACTTGTGAACTTGATGAGGTTTAGGTAGGAATCGATTTCGTTGGGAGTGAAAGATTGATATGGTGGAGTAATTTGAATCATTGCCTCGTGGGCCAACTTGTTCGGTATTGCGAAGTTTGATTGAACTTGGCTCTGGGAGAATATTTCACTCCCAGGTTCGTAGAGGACACCGCGTACAGGTGTTCAGTCTTGCCCTCCGGCTTATTAGGTCGTTTGTACGGACTGGATGATATTTTGATTGGAGTCGTTCTTACACGGAACGAGAGATTGACTCGGTGGCGGATCTTGAGCCATTTTCTGATAGGCTAACCCCATTGGTATTGCGAAATTTGACTGAACTTGGCTCTGGGGGCATATTTCACTCCAAGCTTGCTACAGGACATCGCGCACAGATGTTCACTCTTCTTCTCGAACTGCAAAATGCCCACCGATTTAATCTGTTTCCTCTATCCATCCGGAAATATTACGTCGGCTCAATTGCGCGACAATACTAATACGATGATTCTCGGTAAACTTTGACTCTCACCTAGAATTTTGGCAACAAATCTTGACATTCCAAACCCGATAAGCTGAACTTGAACAGCCCGAGTTGAAGGCTAAATGGCGGCCTTGAGAGATTGATTTGTATCCTGGTTCGAACAGGAGCCTACTAGTGGGCATCGAGCTTTAATTCTCCGCTCCCTGGCAGTTTTCGGTTTGTGCCGCATCATTAGTTCCGGCATTACCGCTACCTATGCCCCTCACCTACCGTCAAATCATGCTGCCAAGACTTCAGTCCCTTTTTAGTTAGATTGAGATGCGTGCGGCGTCAAATTAGCAAGCATCAACTATTTACGGTTGCTCAATCAACAACCCTCTCGTAATCTACGAGCCCTACGTCCTTCTACATGCAGCTACACCAACATAATCAGCCATCAAATCATTCACATCTGGGTGGGACTTCATATTTAAGTAGGAAACTTGTGGCTATTGCAAAATGCAGGTAGCAGGACGAGTAATTACGTTGAAAACCTGTCGGGTCACAAATAACAAGATGTGATGGACTCTTAATCGCTGCTCGATTCAAGGCCATGGTAAGTCAGTCATGAATTTTCTCCAAAGTATTATTGATCCCGAGACTCCAACTTTAGAAGAGCATGCAAAGGGGGACAAGAACTCAACGACTATCAGCACTCACCGTCGAATCTGCCGAGCCGAGAATGAGCCCAACACAAGCGTAGAGTACTCCTATCTTCGATGAGTCTGTATTATTCTCCGCTACCTTGAGTGGCCATAAGAAGTTGCGCTAGTTTACTTTACCGTAGACAGTCTCTACTAAGACTTTTCTGACACTTCAGCAAAGACTCCGATTCTTCTGAAGCGCGAACGTATAAAGACAGAAATTGATTTTCTTTTGAGAAAAAGTCTATAGCGCTGGCTTAGCCGGCCTTTCAGAAAGTTTTATGAGGGTAGCCATCTCTTGAGTTCCAGTCCTGATTACAACATTAGGGGAAACCTTTATCCAGTAGTATGTGCAAGATTTCCTAACTGGAGATGTAAGTTGCTGAAGGGCGAAAAGCTCCTCAAGCGTAAGAGTGGACGAGGATTTGTCAAAAGTCATATCATAGACAGGAAGTAGTGAGTGGGGCACAAGAGACAATACACGACTGCAGGCAAAGAATATCTACACATTCCATATAATAATAGAGTAAGAATGGAGAATGAGAATAACATGATATTCAGTATACGCACAATATTGTTCCGCTGATAACATCAACTTGAATGAGTAAGAACAGTTAAGTATTTTGACAGTACTATTGAGTTTACTTGAAAATCAAACATCAAAGATAATTTTGTCATGATTGTAAATTAATTCGTGCTCTTCTTCCACTATTATTTTAATTCTCAATCATTCGGGCGTAAGCATAACTATAACGCAAGTAGAGCTTACATGCTCATATTTATTTTCATCATAATTCAAAATGGAAGGGACACTGTGAATGAGCCAGCAGCCGTCTACTATCTCTAGAGATGAAGGGATCCACAGAAAATTTCATCAGCAAACCTTCTAGCGATGCTCGCAGTCTGCAGCTTGATTACGGAAGAGCTATAGCCTTTTACAGGAAAATGCACATGTCAGCCAGAAAATCTCATAGTGATAGTACGAATTTCCACCATTTATCGTTCTCACTGCCTCGATTTTGGAGGTTCACGCACGAAAGGTAAATTAATCTGATCACGGGACACCAAGCGTTAAGCGCTTATGTACGAGCCCTTGACGTATTTCGCGGCCGTTTAAACGTTCATCGACCCCGCCAAAGGTCGTCATTGAACTGCAATGATGACTCATGTTCACGTACCCCTGTTTGACCTTGACCCTAGGTGCAAGTCGTAACTGGGAACAAAATTGAATTGACCAGCATATACCCCTGTATCTAGATGCCGACAGGGGAGTAAGACCTAGTATCATGAGGAAGTCGGCAGTCATCTGCGTTTATTTATATTTTATCCACTTGGAATAATACAATTCTTCCAGCCTTCATTCTGACTCGGATATCTTGGCGGTAGTCTTTTCGGCTTGTTCTGTGATCCCCTTCTGCTCAGACCTCCCCCCCCCGATTCTATGCTCCGTAACACTGTAGCACGTGCAGCTGTAGCAACTCACTATCAAATAGCTAGCCGTCGATTACAAACATTGTCACGAAACCTGTCCACCATGTCATCAGAAATAGAAACATCTATTGTTAAAAAGTGCGAATATCTAGTCATTGGTGGTGGAAGTGGTGGTCTAGCCTCAGCAAGGAGAGCCAGCAGTTTGTATGGCGTGAAGACGATACTTGTTGAAAAGAAGCGGTTAGGAGGAACTTGCGTGAATGTTGGGTAAGTCAAATGAATTGATCTCTTGCATAATCTGCTAACAATATTTTGTGTAGATGTGTGCCTAAAAAGGTAACATCCAATGCTGCATTTATTGCTGAAACTCTACGAGAAGCAAAGGCCTACGGATTCTCTATTAGTACTACTCAACCCTTCGACTGGGGTTACTTTAAGCAAAAACGGGATGCGTACATCAAACGATTGAATGGTATATACGAAAGGAACCTAGAAAAAGATTCCATAGAATACATTCACGGTGCCGCGAGGTTCAAGGACGATCAAAATAGAGTTGAAGTTTGCATGGATGATGGTTCCAAGCAAGTTATTGAGGCACAAAAAGTACTGATAGCCGTAGGGGGACGCCCTTGGATTCCAACTCACATTGATGGCGCTGAATACGGTATTACCAGTGATGAATTCTTCGAAATTGAGAAACAGCCAAAAAAAGTCGCCATTGTTGGGGGAGGATACATTGGCGTGGAATTTGCCGGTATCTTCAACGCACTTGGTACAGAGACACATGTATTTATTCGATACGAAAGGCTCTTGAGATCATTTGATCCCTTGATACAACAGACCATAACCGACGAGTACAAACGTGTTGGCGTAAATATTCACCCGCAATGCACTATAAGGGCTATCAAAAAGAATCAAGATACCGGAAAGCTCACCATTTACTCTGAGGACAAAGCTGGAGAGAGCAGTAAGCTTGAGGATGTGGACCACTTGATCTGGGCAGTTGGCCGGACTCCTGATACCTCTGATCTCGGTCATGAAAAGCCTGGTATCAAGACGAATGATCGACAACAAATAGTGGTAGATGAGTTCGAAAATACTTCAGTGGCGAACTGTTTTGCGCTAGGTGATGCGGTGGGTAAGGTTGAACTTACTCCTGTCGCAATAGCCGCTGGTCGCAAGCTAAGTGATCGACTTTTTGGCCCTGAGCATCTCAGAGACTCAAAGCTTAATTATGAACTTGTCCCGTCTGTGGTCTTTTCTCATCCCGAAATCGGCAGTATCGGATTAACAGAGACGCAAGCCATCGAAAAGTTTGGTAGCGAGTCTCTTAAGATCTACCAAACTAGCTTTACAGCTATGTACTATGCCATGATGGAGCCGGAAGATAAGCCGCCCACCAAGTATAAACTCATTTGTCACGGACCCGAGGAAAAGGTGATAGGCTTGCACATACTCGGCCTCGGTAGCGCGGAAATTCTGCAGGGATTTGGTGTCGCCATGAAGATGGGCGCCACCAAGGCTGATTTCGACAATTGCGTGGCTATTCATCCTACAAGTGCAGAGGAAATAGTGACTCTGCGATAGCTTATTCTAGCTAGTTTGTGAAGAATATTTTATCCAATTAACCCTACATCATTTAAATTACGCATAAAAATCTATCACCTCGTGCATTTCTCATTCATCGTGCATCTAGCCTCGTAACCCTGACGTAAAATCAGGTTTATACTTCCTCCATAAGCGGCCCTTGGATATCGTCTTGGTATGTTAGGCAGCATACACTTATAAATTAAACAAAGATCCTTGGTATTCTGGAAACTCTCATGCTCTAGCTCGCATCCTTAGATACCACTTCAAAGAACATCCACTTGTTCAGCCTCATCAGCCCTCATCCGTGATTGTCTATGTCAGAAAGGTTTCGACACCTGTGCATACCAACATTCTTTCGCCAACTTATACGAGCGGCACAAGGAATAAGTTTGGGTTTGCCAAATTGGAGCCAGCTGTCATTCATTAAGTACTGATACTCGAGAAATTAGAAATATAATGGTATTTCATTATCTTCCTTGCCGTCCGCATGAGATTCGAAAATACCACTCCAACTACCATAATACTACAAAGAGTAATTGCTTTCAGCGCATATAATATCCTCTAAGTGCTTTCTCAAATGGAAGCTTGTGCGGGTATTACTTATGAAATGAAGCCGTACAGCAGTCTTAGATACTCCTGGCCTCTACACAGGAATTATATCTCCTTCCACAGTCATAAATTTAATCCAACACCAATCAGACAAATACTAGGGATGAGGAAGCCGTACTTACAATCAGGGCGCGCTCGACTTCCGCATAGCTTGTACTGGAAGAAATAGATGGGATTTTCCCATGAAACTTATGACACGAAAGATTGCAGTGTACAATGGACAATAGTTAGTCCCGTTATCGGTATCAGGAGAGCCCCACACTCATTAGTTTTTCGCTTTCCCCGGCTGCCATATACTCGCCAGTGGTCATTGTTGTATTGGTTGGAGAAAGAGAGAGGTCATGAAGAGTAAAGGGCTTCTCCAGGTGTATGATAAACAAGGACTGCTGAGGGTTGGTACTATTCTACGGGACCTGTATGGAAGGCATAGAAGAGGACATACTACTGGATAGTCACCTTCGACCTGTAGATAGAAAGGATAATAAAAGAATTAATAATAATGGATTTGTCAACCCACTCGACAGCGAAGAGGCTATTGACAAGCAAGTAAAGGGAATCACCCAAGCAATCTAGGAGACAATGGACGAAAGTATACCGAAATCAAGACCTTCGAAATTTGCTAAACCATACTGGACAAAAGAATGCTCTGAAGCCGTGAAAGAAGCACGTAAGGCAAGAAGACATTGAACAAAGGATTCGACTTAAGAAAGCTAGGTGCAATATCAAAAAGCCACAAATCAAAAAAAAGCCAAATCAAGAGAGCAAAATCTATCGGTTGGAAAGCAGTTGTCTCAGAGGCCACAAATGACCCTACAAAATTGTGGAAACTAACCAGGTGGGCCAAGAAAACTCCGGAAGAACGATGTAGACTCCCCAAGATACCCGACATCAAAGATGGAGAAGAAAATATTCATAAAAATGATGCAGATAAAGCAAGAGTAATGGCGCAACATTTCTTTCCAGAGCCAGTCCATGCAGACGTTCGAGACATTGATGGCACAATATACCCAGAAGAACTAAACACCATAACTCTTTCGGTCACGGAAGTCGAAGTAGAGGAAGCCTTGGCAAAGCTAGTGAGCAAGAAAGCCCCTGGCCCAGATAGAATCCCAAACTGGCTGTTAAAAAATTGCAGGAAAACTCTATCAAGGGTTCTCACGGATTTATTCAACGTCTGCCTCTCCAAGGGATATCACCCATTAGGCTTCAAGGAGTCTTTAACAATTGTAATTAGAAAGCCACGGAAATCAGCATACAACACTCCAAAGGCTTACCGATCGATAGCCCTCTTAAACACCATTGGAATATTCATTGAGAGAATAGTCGCAAAGCGAATCTCAAGCGCCGCCGAAATGCACAATCTTCTTCCAGAAGAACAGATGGGGGCGCGTCCCAACAGGTCCACGATCTTGGCAGCTGAGCTTTTGACCGAACAGATCTACGACGTCTGGGGAAATGATAAGAAAAAGGCGACATCCATCCTCAGTCTAGACATCTCTGGAGCTTTTGATAATGTATCCCACGAAAGACTCATTCACAACATGAGGCTAAAAGGGATTCCTCTATGGATAACTAACTTTACTAAGTCATTTCTAGAAGAGAGGTCTACCTCAATAGTCCTTGGATCGTTCAAAGGAGGAAGTATCAATACATAGACAGGGATACCTCAGGGCTCTCCGCTTTCCCCAATTCTCTTCCTATTCTTCGCTTGCACCTTACTCCCTCTAATTCAGACAGAATCGTCTTCTGCGATCGGATTTGTGGACGATACCAATCTGATAACATGGTCAAACACAACTGAAGAAAACTGCCGCAAACTGGAGGAACTCCACGAAAAATGTGCTTCATGGGCAACGAAGCATGTGGTTAAATTTGCACCAGAGAAATATCAGCTAATGCATTTCTCGAGGGCCCGGAAACGTCATAATCTGAACGCTGCTATCCAAATACAGAGTCATGAGGTTACCCCCAAATTTTCTCTTCGATTTCTTGGAATTTAGTTGGACCCCAAGTTAAACTGGGCTTCCCACGCTGAAGTATTACAAGCAAAAGCGGAGTCATAGATGCAGGCATTGAGTCGACTAACTCAGTCAACATGGGGTGCGAATGTCAACAAATCACGACTAGTATATTACTCGGTAGTAAGACCAGCGCTTACCTATGGATCCTCTATCTGGGTCAGAACTGGACCAGCAGGCAATACCCCTGAAAGAATACTCAAGCCACTCAGAAGTGTCTAAAGGAAATTCCTAGAGATCATTACAGGGGCATACCAGTCGACCAGTAGTAGAATGCTAGAGCATGAAACGTCAACTCTCCCGTTAGAGATCTACCTTAAACAAAGGTGGCTTCAATATACCGGGCTATCCAATAACCTACCTATCCAACAGATAATTTCAACTGCACGCAGAAAAATCAAATATTTTGATAAAGAAAAGCTAAATAAACGCGATCAAAATAGGAGGGCTTATATAGCGGAATGGACCTTAATCTGCAGCAACATCGAGTCTAAAACAGGACAGAAAGTAGTCGGTAAGAATGCCGCGTTCAAGGAATGGTCAGAATCGTGGACGAGCCAGAAGAAGGAGCGACACTTGGGACCCCGAGCGCAAGCCTATCCGGATAAGTGGAATGCTGCAAACTTATACAACGACAAGAAAACAGGTAGACTTATGATGAACTATAGAGAGTCACCTATCCAAATCCACCAAAACCTTAGCAGGGCCCAGAGCAGCATTGCCACACTGTTAAGATTATGAGCACATACGGGTTGAATCTCTACCTTGGAAGGATGCTATATGTGTTCGTATAGCACCAACATAGATATAGAAAAGACTTGTGTTAACTGAGGAACGCTTGTATTCAGATGACTTTTGCTTACTCCTACTGCTAGGAGATACATCTCATAATATACATGTCCTGGATAGCCATATCATAGTTCCTACACTATCAAATACATTCCATTCCATTCTACTCTATACTATTCGATCCCTCATCATTCCATTCCATACTATTCGATCCCATACCATTCCATTACAAATCTATGATGCCCTAATTATGGATTGCCCTCAAGTTCATGTCCTTGGACTTGCATGAAATATTGTCATGCATAAATCTACACAGATCTGGGATCTCTTGGCAGATTATAACACACACAAGTAAGAAGCGAGCACATTGGGCTCAATGCTTACTTATACAGAAGGAACGTGCCAGGAGTAGGAAAACCATGCTGCCAATGTGGATATCCGTCCCAAAATATAAAGCACATAGTGATGTCTTGTCCAAGATGGGTAAAGGGACGAGGTGAGCTGCTACGAAAATCGAAAACTCGATCTTTCGAAGCTATGGTAAATAACGTCAAAGATATGACAAGAATGGCACAGTGGATTCAAAAGTAAGGATGGCTAGAGCAGTTTCGGATGACCGGGGAAATCGAGGCGTTATTCAGGCGAAGGGAGGAAAATAGATACACAGGACAAGGACGGAATCCACACTGGCAACAACAGTGTGAGTGCACTTTCAAGAGGAAAGACTATAATCGCACAGAGTTAAGTCAGACAGCTAAGGGGGTTTTTACCGCAAGGTTTCCTCCTATGTAAATATTAAAGTTCGTAGACACCTGCATGGGCCCATAGGGCGCCAAATCGGGCTAAACGAATTCAAATTCAAATTCAAAAATAATGGATTTGATATTTACCTTAATCCCTGGTTAATTTTGGGAGCGCCAGTCAAAAGTATATAGCTAGAGGCAAATACGCAGGCTCAGGTTATGAGAAAACTATCACGTTCCACAAAGCAGAACTATTGTACAGCATGATAGTTGGACTAGCTGTCACGTATGAGTCCTTGATTTGAGCCGAGTCCGGGTCTGACTGTAGACTACCTCAAAAGATAGTCAACTCCCTTTCTAGTATTCAAAGAAGTCGTTTGTAAATCGGCTAAAATGAGGGTTTACGCTGCTTACAGAAATTATGTCCAAGTATCCATGGCTCCGGGAGCCTCCCGGTCCTAAAGATCATACAATCTACCTGTAGTAACATCAAGCTGCCCAAGCAAGGGAGCTTAGACACTCGAGCAAGCAAAAGAAGACTACAACAGGCAAAGGGTTATAATTTGCGGAGACGAATAATCCACTAGACGGTAGAGAGAGGCGGGAGAACTCGCAACGTACCAAGCACAAGCGAAATCTTAGCCAAGTCAGGGGCGAAGCCAAAAGCCTCGACCGATTGCCATCGGCAACCTCGAAACCTGGAGAGCCTTTCAGTTCTATAGAAGACGACAGCCGGAACTGTGAGAGTCAGTCTCTAGGACTCGTCATTTTCTCTTCACCGAAGCTTCATACGGACTCACGCCAGTCTGCCAATGCAAGTTCGAAGCGGGCTCACAGG